GTCAAGGGCTCTGCATCCTCTGCAAGCTGACAGAGACAGTGTGTTCATTACATTCATTGGATGGGTTGATTGAAAATTAAAAGTTACCAAATAAAAAGTGAAGAAAACCCCGTAATGATGAATAAAACACTTAAGCACTGAATCCCATATGTTGACAATTATGTGCCTTGGGAAAAGGGACAGGCCACCGGGCGAGCTGAGAGTAGAGCAAAAAACTCTGAGGAAGGTTAATTCAGGCTTTTTTTGTGAACTTTCTTGGCAACTATTCATGTAAAATAGCTAGAGAAAAACCCAAGGCAATGGAGAAAATCAGGCTGGCCACCCAACTGAATAGCGCCTTTTATGTTTCTAGCTCGAGGTGATCTGCTCCTCACACTTTGGGAGCTTCTAAATAGGCCCAGCTAAACAGCTGAAGCAGAGAGAGAAGTGTGATTCTCAGACGCAAGCAGAAAGTGTTAAACTAGCAACTAAAATAGCAGTCGCTTTTCTTGTGACAATTTGTGTAATTAGGTCTGAACAGGCTCAGTTTCTCAATTCTAACCTGAGAAAAGGTGGAAAATCCTGCCACACTGCAGGCCTCCAGAGTACTGGAATTGCCTGGGAAATCTCTCCTGACTTCAATGTCGTGATGGTCCCTGAACTTTCTAGAGCATCTCTTCCCTGGGCAGACTCTGACATGTTTGTGACTATTTCCTGAGTAGCACATGTATTGGCACTTCACAGAGGGTATGTGGAGGGGTGGAAGACTAAGGTTGGGCAATAGATCCCAATCTGAATTTTTGGTTCTATGCTTATTACATTATGTGCTTGAGGCTGAGTCATCTAATCTTCTGAGTCTATCTCTAATCTGTAAAATGGGTTGAATAAATTTTTCCCACATGGTTATCCCTAAAAAGTATTACACCCAGCACTTTATCTGATCTGCAGTAGCTACTTGAGAAATGTGGGTCCCTTTCCCCATGCCAATGCAGTGGGTTCCATTAAGATAATTCACAACCCAGGCCTCCCTGGTAGTGCAGGGGTTAAAGACACAGTGCTATCAATCATCAGCCTCTGCGACATGAGTTTGATCCCCAGCCAGGGAGATGACACACATGGCACAGCAGACCTCTCCTGTCTTGCCTGCTGCTCCCCTCAGCAGTGTATTTCAGCAGATCCAGCTGTTCTGTTCCCCACTCTGTCTCTGGTGAATCCTCTCACCCCACCCCCACCCATGCACCTCTGGCCTACACTCCAGTTCATGATGCATATAAATAAATCTAAAAAAGGAAAAAAGGAAACTCACAACTCTTACTGTGTGACTCCAAGGATTAGTGATGTAAGACATGTGGGAGGGAAATACTAAAAAGGAGTCAACTGCTCAAACTGAATCAGGCTCTTTCTTTCCCTCGGGGTCCCAGTTCAGTGCCAAGGACACAGCCTAGTACTCATGGTTCAGACCTGGATCCAAATCCTAGTGCTAACACTTAACACCAGTAGACTGCAGACATAATATAACATCAGTCTTATCATTTTAAAGTGAGAAAAATACTCCAGGAATAAAGTAATTCCCTGGGATGTGATGTACAACATCACTGTAGTTAATAACACTGTATTGTGTATTTTAAAGTTACAAAAAGTAGGTCTTAAAAGTTCACATCACAAGAAATAGAACTTGTAACTATGTGTGGTGATGGATGGTGATCATTTTGTAGTATATGCCTGTACTGAATCTCTATATTGCACCCCTAAGAATATATAAAATTGTGTCAATTATACCTCAATAAAAAGTGTAGTTTGAGTGTGATATAAATTTATGTAAAGGGCTTAGCACTGTGACTACCACTGTCAGCACTCAGTACCATTCATCTTACCAGAGGAAATCCAGTGAGGTTCAGAAAAATAAGCAGCAAAAGTGTAAAAATAAAAGGACTGGGGCCCTCTCAGTGGTGCAGGAGGTTCAGCACAGCACTGTGAAGCTGTCCACAGCCTCTGCAGTGCAGGTTTGATCCAGCCGGGCGGGGAGATACCCACATGGCACGGCAGACCTCTCCTGTCTTGCCCGCTGCTCCCCTTAGCAGTGTATTTCAGTCAGTCTGCCTGTTCTGCTCCCCACTCTGTCTCTGGTGAATCCTCTCACCCTCCCACACATCTGGCCTGTGTACCCTGGTTCTTTTATGCATGAATACATAAATCTTTAAAAAAATAAATAAAAAATAAAGGGCTGGGATAAGTATATCAAAGTGGTATGAAGTCCACAGTGTAGATAGTAAAAACTCAGCCTTTGTGAAATTCACTATGAGAGTGGCCTAGATAAGAAACGTGTATCTCTATATAGGGACCAGATCTTCTGCTCTGAAAATCGGTTGATGCTTACTAGGAAGGAACTTGGGAAGAACGTATGTTTTCACGTGCTTGATACTACCCCGTAATCTTTTCCTCCTCTTTATTAGGTCACCCTGTTTCAAGCAGTTGGCATTCCAGAGCCCCCAGTTTATTTGTTGCCATCTGGTTTCTGATGAGCTTCCTTCCCCTCAATCTGAACCAGTGATTTTGAAATGCTGGCCCATGCTGTCTGCATCAATCTCCATGAAGAGTTTGTTAAAAAATGGAATTTTTCAGGGTCCACCCTCAGGGGATCTAATCCAGTAGCTTACCCAGTAATTCTTATGTGTAGTCAGGCTCAGGAACCGTGTTTCTAGACTTTTTCTATACCAAAATACAAATTTACCTCTCCACTGGCCAGGACCTCAGCCTGCCTTTCCCCTGATCTATCTAAAAATAAGCTCATTTGGGTTTGGATCCATGAAACCATTAACTGGCAATGACTTTATGTTGCCTTGCCAAGATCTTTCAGAAAGGACACTTTATGCCCTGAGTCAAAGTATTGATAATTTCAAGAGATAAACTTCAGTGCTTTCTTTATAAACGGGGTTGATTCTGAAGCATATTGTGGACTCCAGCTCTCACATCCTTTTCCTACTTCCCTGGTAAAAAGACTTAAGCAGCTAAGGACATAGAGTGAGTGAAAATGACAGACTCCAAGGACACCACAGATGTGCAGAGTATATAACAACAGCAACTAACACACGCCTGAAGAGCAAAGGCCAAATACTACCCTAAGCATATCACATGGAATACTTCATTCAACATTCCCATCTAGAACTAGGTATTATTATTCCCCCTTTACAAATTAAAAAAAAAACTGAACTGCCAAGAAATTAACTTGCCTAAGTTGACACAGCTAACAAGTGTCTGAAATGGCATTTCATGAACATCAGAGTTCATGAAGATTAACAGAGATATCCCCTACCCTCTTTTTCCTCTTCTCCAAAGAATATCCAATGAAAAAGAAAAACAAAAGAAAAAGAAAAATCACTGGTTCAGCATTTCAAAATCACTGGTTCAGATTGAGGGGAAGGAAGCTTATCAGAAACCAGATGGCAACAAATAAATGGGGGGCTCCAATGAAAAAGAAGATAAAACTTTTACAAGAATGAAGCAAAAAAAACACTGCTTAGCAAGAAAACAGCTGTGTCTCCAGGACTTTCAGCTGGAAATTACTGGATGAGGGCTCTGGGGCTCCTTTCTGGCCTGTGTACAGAAGTACCCACAGGACCCTTCTATTCCCTCGTCTGAGGAGCAGATAGGTGGTGAGCAGTTGGGAACAAGGATGCCAACTCACAGGCCACTTTAGTTCTAGGGAATTGAAGGAGTCAATAAGTTCTTGAAGATGGAAGTGGAGACAGCAGTGCCCAGCCCAAGACCACAGTAGTTAACATGAGAACTCTGTTCAGACACATATTACATCTGCTTCAAGTCACAATTCTTGAGAATTTATGAAAGCACCTTAAATAGAGGACACTGAAATGGACCAGACTCACTTCAAGATAAGAAATGTTCATTTCAACCTGACACTGGTTTCTGTCCTGTGCCCTTGCAGGTCCTCTTCTGAAATAGACCGTAGCGCTGGAGTGGCAAGCACAACCAATCTTCCTCATCAGAAATGTAGTATGGAGCTGGCTGACCTTGGAATATCCCCCTTTCTTGTTGGTTTCCAGAAGAGAAATTGGCCCCAAAATCCCTGCTCTTTATCCTGGACCCAAGGGAGCAAGTGTTGTGGCTGTACGGTCATTTTAAATTTGATGGTATCATTAATGAGAACCAACAATGCATGGACATGGCTTGGAATGCCAAAAAAAAAAAAAAAAAAAAAAAAAAAAACCTCCCTGTAATTGGACTCAGATCACTATGCATGAGGATTTTCAGGAGAGATCGAAACATTCCCCTTGATCACCATTATCCAGCTGTCTACCCACAGACGATCCAATGGAGACCAATAGTCTCCCTTCTTCAACTAACAGTAAGCCTGACTCTACTGATATGGGGGACAATATTTCCTTTCCTCCCCAAACCACAAGTTCCTGTGGAAATCCCCCCCACCACAGATATGCCATCCTCTGGCAAGAGGGAGTACTCACTCACCACTCTGCAGAAAATGGAAAACCTCAATTCCAAAAGATTCAAAGAACAGCCTCTTTAAGAAACTTCCATTTGGAAAAGCTATTTAAGCAAAACTGCACTTGATGAAGTGAAATAGAATTAGCCGCTCCAGTAGCATGGGCTTCTGAGATTCATTCTAAGGTAGACTGGCTTATTCCCTTCCAAGTGGAACGAACTCAACAACAATATATCACAGTTAACTGTGATCACTGCTCCATGGAATTTCAGCCGGTGCCTGGAGCACACCGAGGTGCACTTAATATTCCCCAATCTGTCATCAACCTTTTGTACATTTGTTCCTAATCACAAGCTACTATTTCACTTTAACGAACTGTTTTCTTAGCGTATTACGGTTGGTCATTTCAGCACGCCTAATGGTCCATTCGGTAGGTTAAATTACAATTAGGGTCCCTTGGTTTTCCTTTTCCAGAAAGTCTTAGAGGGGTTTGATTTTATCCCCCTTCCCTCTGCTTCAACTTCAAGGGCAGAGTCACAAAAGATCAAAGATAAAGACATACCTGTTGCAGTCAACGTGGAGCAGGAGATGAGAGGCGCTGACTGACAGCGCCACCTTGTGCCACTCTCCATCTGCCATCCGGTAGGGAAGTGCCTCTGTCCTGGGCTTCCCCTTATGTATGTAGTGGTAGCGAATCTCATCCCTCAGACCACTGCTCTCCAGTTCAAAATAGCTGTACATAAAGCAACAAAAAAGTTGGTTGTATTTGAGTTCTGGATATCAGAGCTATCATCCATTCTCACTATTTATTACCAGGTTTCTAAGAATCTAAAACTAGCTGAGCTTGACCCAAAGAGCCACAACCCAAAATCAATTGTGTACCACATGCAACCCAACTCCTCTATTGTCTGAGCCCCCTCCCGGCAATACTTTGAGTCCCTGAAATGGAAATCAACTGATCCCCTGAGAGTAACAGCCACAAACTAGCCAGCAAGGCTTGGGGAAGTGGCTCTTAAGTACTAAAAAATACAGTCCAGACTTTCTATCATTTGATAAAGGCCATGCACAAGGGATAGTTTGTTCAATTTTATTACTGGTATTTTTACTTTGGCAAGAATTAAAGGAAAATAGAAGTCATGCTGAATATTGGGGATTGCAATTAAGTTTGAGAATGAGAGATGGGAAAGTTGGTAGGTTGCTGTTGTTGTGTTTTTTGTTTTTGTTTTTTTTTTCAGTTCTCCCTAGACCAACTATTGATAGAACTAGATAACAAGCGGGAGAAAGCTGAAGCTATTCATATAGACCAGCATTTCCAATTACCATTAAATAAAACATGCAACTGAGTGTTTTCATTCCCCAGATTGTTGTCCTATTTTCCAGATTTATGAGAAACTCTTAGCACCACCATTGCAGTCTTCACTTTAGTCATTAAATGCAGCAGGTAATGTTGGTACATTCCTGCTGATACTTTAGTGGTCTATGTCTATCTTCTGCAATGTGGTATCATCATCACCACCCTGGGGCCTCCTCTCAGAGTCTAGCATTGCACACTAGGCATTTGGTATACGCTGCCTAACGCATCATCCACAAAGCCTAAAAGACTGTTATCAATGTTTAAGTATTAACAAACTAGATTCAGGAAATAGATACCAAAGCCAGATTTAAACTTGGGTCGAAGTTGACAAAATGTGCACTTTCTACCAATTTGCTGCCCATTTCAGAGGCACAATGACCAAGCAGTAAAGATACTCTCAACCGGGATTATCTCCCAGCATTTCATTCATATAGACCTAAAAGCCACTCACCATGACAGGTAACTATACTTGGAAGCCACCTGTGCTGGCCTGACCCCTCTAGCTAGATTGTATTTAATCTAAAACACAAAAAGCCTCACCCACAAACATCAAAATGAATATATGATAAAACTCGGTCTCTATTATGCGTGACTCCCAAATCTCACGTCAGGAAACATGCATATTTCTTGTTCATTTCTCATGGGGATATTCCGAAAAGAGCAGTGTGCGGGAAGCAGATTTGAGACCAAACTCTGACTCACCTCATTTGCACTAGACACAAAAGCAGGCCCAAGGTCATAAACTGAAGAGGTTACTTATCTATTGCTGCCAGCTCTTGAGCCCAGGTACACGCTATTAGTAATAATAAATATTACACATATTTTACAAGACTTCAAAGGAAGAAATCCTTTAATAGAATCATTTTATGGAAATTCTCCAAATTTCTCCCAAGTGACTAGAACATTGGGAGAACGAAACAATCAGAGAACTTAAAAGGTCAAGATGACCTTAGGGCTTAGTTGGTCAATTCAAGTCTCGTTTAACATGTTATTACTGAGCACACAACGATGGGATAAAAAAGGATTTAAAAAATAATCCTACTTAAAATCCTTTGATACTACTGAAAAGGAAATAAAATGTGTCCCTCCCCACAAAAATATTAAAAATTGACCTATAAGGAAAGGAAGCAAGAGAAGTTATCATTTCACGAGCGACTGCCATGTGCAGGAAAGAGCCAAATGCTTCCAAAAACATTATTTCAATTAATTTCATCAAGATGGATATTATACTATTTTGCAGATGAGTTCACATATGATCAGAGATATTAAGCACCTTGCCCATGACCACAGAGTTCCTGTATAGAAAAGCATCATGGTTTTATATTTGAGACCTCACCAAGATTAAGACTTCGTAAGAAACCTCTTAGTGACCAATAAGCTACAGCTGTAGAGAGGGACATGAGCCAGAAAGGACATCAATTGAAGAAAATTAGAAATACTTAGAAGGCGCCTGATGGAATCAAATAATATTTAGAAAAAAAGGAGGCAGTTAGCCATATTTAATCATTGCTGGGATTATGGCTTCATTAAGCAAGTGCTCAGTGTATTATAAGCCCATCTTTTAAAGATCTGGAGTATGTGGTTTCCTTGGGGTAATTACAAATACATAGCTATAATCTGCCCTAATGTTAAACAAAGGAATGCTTGTCTTGAGGTAAAGTTTCTGACAGCATTATGAGCATATTGAAAAAGTGCCCAAATATTGCCAACAATTTGGCTAAATACATTAGGCAACTACTGACTCGGCCCTAGGGATGACAGGACACTGGATAGCTACATGGTGTCTTATTCAAATTGTTTCATGAGTATGGGGAGGGGAATCAGGCAACACTTCCAGGCAGTAATCCTCTGCTAATAGAGATGTGAGTCTAGTCCTGAGAGCCAACTAGAGGAGGTAGTCATTTGGCCTGTGGGATTTGATTGCAGCCTGGAGGAAAGATCCATGATTTACAAATCCCTGGTTCTCAAAGTATGGTCCACAGACCATCATCGTCATTATTTGTAGAAATTCAGATCATGGGAAAGAACCCAACCAAGAACTACTTGAATGAGAATCTGCATTTTCACAATCCCCAAGACGATTCATAGATGCACAGCAGTTCAAGCAGTGCTGTAGTGGTGTCCAGGTGTTGCACTCCCTGGCCAGCTGGTCCCGGTGAGGGAGCAGAAATGTGATGCCCAGAATGAGTAAGTAAGAGCTGTGTGCTGCTCGGAGGCAGAGGGGGTCCAAGTGGAAGTGACTGAAGTGGATGTCTAGTGTGCTCTCTGTCCCTGACAGTCCCCAAGTGTTCTGGGATCTTCTCAGGAGTTTGAGGAAGAGGGAAGCTGAACGGATGATACAATCACTCACCAGATTTTGTGAGTGGCATTTCTCCCCTTAGCCCTGGATCTCAGCCAAGCATGCTTTTTGAATGAACTCTCTTGGCACCTACAAAAGTCTGTTCATCCTGCAAATATTTGTAAACAGCAAAGATAATCCTTCTTATATTGTATCTTTTTCAGGTCAAGCAAGCTCAGCTCCTTGCTTCATACTCCTGTCACCAGCCTAGACCACATGGCCTCCTGGACTAGTCTACCTCCTGGACTAGTCTTCCTCCTTCCGGATCTTTCCCCTGATTGGTCACCATGCATTTGACCTAGTAAATACACTGCATCCAGGAAAAGACACTTGATTTGGGCTGTGAAGTTATGAGTGTATCACAGCACTCATACGGCCTTCCCTTATCGAACACTCTACGTCTTTAAAACAAAATGCCATGAAGAAGAGTCTTTCCCACCTGTGCTTACATAGCTAAAATTTTTAAACCTAAGTCCTTAAGTGCTAGGCAGATCCAATCCAAATCAGCATGAATCATTCTCCAAAGTCCACCCTTGAGTATAAGAAACATATATGTTACCACAATATAAAGTCAAATTTCACAAGACTACCTGAATTCCAAGGTATAACTGGGATATAAAATCCAGAAATAACTCCAAGTAAGACATAGATCAAGATGAACCAAGTTCTTTTTATTTTCCATTTTCTCCAAAACCAAGGGATCCATAGAGATTTGATAAATATAGATACTAGAATGCACAACTCTATAAAGTCAAAATGCTAATGCTAGGTAAATGTGTTGCTTCTGTATACTAAGGATGAGAACAGCAGAAGTTATTTTTAAATGATATCCAGGACTAATTCATTAGTCAAGGTGAAAATTTCTTAGAAAATTGCATTTCCAGCAATTCCACAGAGATATATATTGGTTATTGGACAAATATCTCATATCCTAAAGAGCTCCAAAGTTAGTGCTGTGCCTGCTTATGCTCCTAAAATGGTCTCACTGTGCCCCTAAACCAACAACCTTTTCCTGGGAGTCTGGGTGAGGAGAGAAAAGCAAAAGGGATTCGGGAAACAAGCCCACTCCTGCCCAGTGTGTGTCCCTGGAAGGATTATTGGGACAGAGAGAAAACGGTCATGTCTCTAGGTGCTTTCTATAAAGGAAAATAAATTATCACAACTATATGGAAAGTACCTGGGTAGACCATCCAGAACCCACTCACCCCATCCCTAAGTCCTGAAAAATACCAAAGGAAAAAATTCAATTTCCCAGCATAGTACTTAGGATATCAGGAAAGATTAATACTACCTTTATGATGGTAATAATTACACTATCAGAAACATAGCTAACATTTATTTTATAATAGCTAATACTAACCGAGGTTTATTACTGCCACAGAATGCCTATAGGACTTTCTATTTGACATCAAAATAATACCACCACCCTATGAGATGCTTGTCTATTTTTTATTTTCTTTAACAAACACTTCTACAGCACGACTATGCATTTTAACCTAACAATCTTAATATATGCCAGATGTTAACATCCCTATTTTAAGGAAGATGGGCCTAAGTCACAGATGTTAAGAAACTGTCCCAAGGCTACACACCTAGGTAGGACCAGCACTAGCATTCAAAAAAAGAAGCAATGGCACAGTTTTCAAGTAAGTAGTAGTACAAAGAGCACTGGCAAAGGATAACAAGCACTTGATCTCAACCTCAAATCGGCTACAGAGTAATCCTAGACCAGATGGCCCATATGCTCTGCCTTGGTTTCTCCTATGTACCAAGTAAACTAGTTTCTCCTGTGTGCCAAGTAAACTAGTTAGGCTCTGTGGATAGACCCAGGAGGACGTTACAGTCTCCACCAGAGGGAAAAGATGGGACTGCAATCTCCTCTAATCAGGGAAGCTTTTCTCTCATCTATTGCAGAAATTGGTGCTCAAAAAGATTTCCTTTGGATAAAAGATTTCTACTTCCAAAAGTAATCTTAAACTATAGCACCAAACTATCTTTAAGGTCCAGCTCAGATCAAAATTCCTATCATTCCTCTACTGCT